GGTGTCACAGGAGATTCGCCCCCAGGAGATTCGCCCCCCTCTCGAAAGGGGGGCGATATTCCTAGGAAATTCGCCCCCCCCCGGGGCGAATCTCCTAGGAATATTGCCCCCCAGGGGCGCGAATTTACTAGGAATATCGCCCCCCTTTAGGAATTTCGCCCCCCCATATAAATTTTGAATTTTTGATCTAAAAACAAAACGATTGCAAGTTGAAAAGATTTATTGTGTGATTTATTTATTTATTTATTACAAGGAGACAAAATTACATACACATTTTAGGCTTCTTAGCAGCTGGTAGTGTGCACACTGCACAGTCTGCATAACCACTCATTTGAGGTACTTAACTAGTGTCATATTCTACACATCTAAAGTGGAACCATTGCCCACAGAGATCGCATAAAATCATGTTGTCGTATTCTTCTGGCAGTTTACATCACATAACATATTATAAAAACAATCGCTTGCAAATTTTATCAATACCAGTGTTAACAATAGCCGCCACAGTAATTAGTGTACTAATCACTTGCTAACAATAAACTATAGGATTAATAAAAAATCTATGGAATGTGTTGGGAAGCGTATTGACTATTGTCCGTTGAATCATCAACTTTCCATGTCAGTGTTAGTGATGTAATCTTGATTCTTGACTTCCACAAAGAAAATTGCATTATATATGTGGTGTGGTTTATTCAATTAATTTCATGATACTTTGATTTTATTAGTGCCTTAAACATTTGAGAATGTAACTCGGCAAAACTAGAAGCTTTTCTGTCTTTCAGTTGAAACGTATATTATTGGAGTATTGCCTATTGGCAAGTTCTACCCTTCGCTTCTGAGATTTACAAACTATATTATTTGAATTTATGCAAGTAAAAAATAGTGACAACTTATAAGCCACACATTATCCAATAACGACAAAACGTGGATGCAAAACAATACCAATAATTACAATAACCACCACGGTGATTACTTTTTAACAATGAGTTTAAGGATTAACACTGAAAATGCAAAATATGCATGGTGTGCTGTGAAGCGTCATAAATCCTATTGATCTACTGTAACTGTGTAAGCCCTTTCGATACATGTAATTGTAAATTTGTATTCTTACATGCAGGGCTTGAAATAATAAACGTTCCCAAAGTTCACGATCATGGTGATCGGCAGTCATGACTTTCCCTGCTTTTTTCAGGTTGGAAACCGAAACCCTGCTTTTCCGCCGATCATAAGCAATTCCTTGCCGATCGGTGATCGGTTGTTATTTCAAGCTCTGTCTTAACAATTTTGAATTGATACTGATTTCAAATGATTAAAGCCATGTAATAATTATCCCATGCAACTGTTAGGAAGGGCGAAATATTGAACGGAGGACGAAAATCCTAAAGAAAAGGTGAAGTTTCTAAAGGGGGGCGAATTTCCTAAAGGGGGGCGAAATTCCTAGGATTTTCGCCCCCCTGGGGGGGCGATATTCCTAGGAATTTCGCCCCCGGGGGGCGAAAATGTAGGGGGGGGCGAAAATCCTGGGACACCGGTCTACAAAACACACTGCTTTCCCAAAGTCTCAGTAAATAAGTAGTTTTTGTTTGCTATTGTATTCTACTTACTAGGCTTTGTTTCGCTTTAAGAGAATTCGCTCCAGTTATAAAGTACAGTGATCGGCGAAGGTAAAGTATTTCAACCAGTTCCGAAAATCAAAAGTAACGAGAAAAGTAATTCAGGTGCAAAACGCTATATTCTTGACTGCAACCAATCTACTCCTGTCACATCAGACAATGTTACGTTCATTGATAAAATCACAAAATAGACTTGACATGGTATATCTATTCTGTGATGAAATATTCTTTTGTGCAAGTCAAAAATAGAGAAAATGTAAAAATCAGTCCGGTCCAACTGTCCAGTCCAATCCAACTGTCCAGTCCAGTCCAACTGTCCAGTCCAGTCCAACTGTCCAGTCCAGTCCAGTCCATGTTTTGTACTATGCCCTATTTTAGCCCGTATAAACATTTACCCCTGGGAATTTCCCTACAATCAAAAAAGACCGCTCCCGTTTTTCAGAAGAACGCTAAAACTTCTCGACATTCGCTGATATAATGCAGAGAGAAAACAATAGGTTATTATGACCGTCAGTAATTATTTACTCATTAGTCCTAGAACAATATATCCAATTATGGTAGTTGTTTGATTCGAAAATTTAATTAGCACAATATCATTCAGACCTGTGAGAAAATATGTCTGTTCAACTCTGTTGTATCCATAGATATCTTATATACACTAGATAGTGCATCTAATTATTCTGCAATTCAAAAATTGAAGCCGTGATTGCAGTCTCAGGTCGTTCCCATGAAATGAGAAGATTCGTATGTTTTCTATTTCTTAAACAGGGAACTTAAACATTAAGTTAACCCTATTCCAAATACGTTTTTAAACTATTCAAATGATGAAAGTTATTGTTGTTTTTAAGCGTTTGTTAGCAAGTGGGAACGACCAACATGGCTGCCATCTTTTCAAATGGGAGTAACCGCTGGAATATTCTTGGCTTCAATTTTACTAAGAGAGATGCGCTATCTAGTGTATATAAGATATCTATGGTTGTATCAGGTTATAGTGTACATAATGCTGTTTTCGCAAGTGAGCGGCTATATGCATATAGCCGCTCACTTGCGAAAACAGCATTATGTACACTATAACCTAGGCTCTAGTCCTAGGCTCTAGACCTAGTAAGAGTAGGACTTGTCTTATGACACTGAAACTTTTTCTCTGGGGTTAGCCATTCATGTCCGGTAAATACATATATATACGAACCTGAACTATTATATGGAGGCCTTAAGAGGCGTTGGTAACTTTTCATGCTGATGAATTAACATAAATGAAAAACATGCCTGGTGGCCTTGCCAGGCGCTAAATGTAATTTAGAAGTTGCGGTCTAATAAACCGGCAATTAACTAAAATAAAGCCTAGTTTCCATTTGGTCGTTAGTTGTTGCTGGCATGACAAAGTGGCTGATGTAATAGAGCGTCAATAAAACTTTATAAAACTCTGCAATCATTAATCTACCGCTTGTCGTGCCAGCGACAACTAACGACCTAGGCTTAACTAACAATAACATAGTTTCCTATTTTAACAGAGCAAGTTGATTACAGTATATATACCAAAATTCAAAAAAATTTAAATGGAAGCAAACGGCAGTAAATACACTGACCAGGGAGCGAATGGCACTGCTGGTGAACGAAGTTCTTTCAGCTCAGCTCCTAGACAATCCTCTGTATTCATGAAATATGTTCGACCTTGTTTTGCTGAATTTCTTGTTGTCTTAATTTTCGTGTTCATCGGTGTCTGCAGTGTAGCCAATGTACCGTCGTTTATACCCTTTGTTCATGGCCTCACAATTATGGTGTTAGCATTTCTTGCTGGTGGAATAAGGTATGTAAATAGTTAAGAGAATTTCGACGTTTCGAGCGAAGGCCCTTCCGGCTTCGTCAGTCTGGAGTAACTCGCCAGTAAATTGAAGTATAATATAGGCAATTGGTATATTTTGTCGGCCATCTTGTTTGCATGAACGCCGCGCGTGGTTTACGCGAATGATATCATCCGGCCTTTCAGTAGTCTGTTCAGTAGCTTTCATATCACCGGGTGACAGGTAGTCTGTTCAGTATAGCTTTCATATCACCGCTTCGTCAAATACGATGACGTATAAGGCGTACATGATTCGATGATAAATTTCATGCTCACGTGGCACAAATTTAGGTTTCTGATTGGAATTTGACGTATAATATTATATACAAAATATTAACCTTTGGAAATGACTGATATCGGCAGCATTCATCCTTGATTTTTTTCGAGCAGTTTATCTACAACAGGTGAACTAATCAGGCATAATTAATTGTCAGATATTATAATTTCTAAGTTGCTCAATCATTTTGTCTAAAATATATACATCGCAATAGAGTGATTTATGCAAATATTATACCTCAAATTCAAAATGTCCAATTAGAAAGCTAAGTTTGTGTCACGTGAGCATGAGGGTTGCGGGTCTCTCTCCTCCGCAGAGGCTTCTGTTGGCTATGATTATTGATTACGATTAGTATATTGAGATACATTTCACTACACTTTCCACGGCGGATCTTGGAACACGAGGGGAGCCGCTGGGCGAAGCAGCACAGTTGCGGGTGATTTCAATCGTATTACCAACGAGATTACCCGCGTGATATGATATGTCACTGATTACCCGCGTGATATGATTCGCGTAAACCACGCGCGAAGATCGCACAAACAAGATGGCCGACAAAATATACTAAAAAATCTAAATAGTTATGAATTATTGAGAAAAAAGCTCTGATAAATACATACTGAGGTCTGATATAGTTAATGTGATGTATTTACATTTTATACCCAGCTATAAATGCCCAACCTTTACAAGTTGGACAATTTCATGTATGTAAAATAAAATAAAAATCAATATTCCACTAAGCACTGATATTAAATTAAGCGCATCACCCTTAAGATCGTGGGTTCGATTGTCACTGCGGACTTGCAACACTTGTGTGAAAAGAATCGGTCAACCCTCTACCGAATGTTGTTGACATTCGTCCACAGTCTGAATCCCCCCTCCCCCCCCCCATAGGGAATGTGTCGAGATGAGTTGCCATGAGCCCCAAACTGGCCCTTAAACCTCACTCATGTGCTCCGTGATCGGACATTAATTACCGGAATATAAGGTGGCTGCCAGAGGCGCCCTTAGAAAACTTTCATTTCGATCAGGGTTGAAGTGCGTCCTTCGTAATGCAGTTTAGCTCTCAGCTGCAAGTAATCTGTATAAGGATGATTAGCGCACCCACACCCACCCACCTACTCACTTGAAAGAATACGTTTGGCCTGTATTAACTGTCTCATTGCTTTTTTCAGCGGTGGTCATATCAACCCAGCTGTCACATTAGGAGTATTACTTGCTGGAGCCATCAGTCCATTACTTGCTTTAGGTTATGTCGTATCACAGTTGCTAGGAGCTATCGTTGGCGCAGGTTTCGCACGGGTAGGTTTAATATAGGTTTATATGATAATTTGCTTCCACATATGCTTTTCCCAGACCAGCTGGAAATTAAAAGGTATATTCTGTTTTTTGAAGAAAGGATTCTATCAGTATCATGAAACTTAACCTAGCCATATCGAATATATTGAAACTTTAACGTTTTTGTGAACCTACACTAAACCAGACATAATACTAAAGTGCGGTGCCTTGGATAATGCACAAGACGAGTACACCGTGCCAAAAGCGCGAAGAGATACAATTTTGCATAAACACCATAAGGTGTATGATTCCGAACAAACCAACTGAAACTAACGGTAGTGGCACCGCCTGCAGGCTGCTCCATTTACTGTTCTAGAACATTTGGAATACTGTTCTGGAACGTTATGGAGTGCACACGGTGTTCTGGAACAGTGTTTGGTTTATTATATATGCGTTGTTTGGTTTATTATATATGCGTTTATTATATAATGGGGGAATAAAAAATAAGAACACAAGGTATGTGGCGTACAACCATGCATTACTATATTGATTTGTTAATTGTTATTCGCATAATAAATCGTGTAATGATTTGCTGTTATTTGTGTATCTAAAGATGCTTTTGCAACGTTTTTACTCGTTGATTTTGCCCAACCCTGGCGTTCAAATAGCATATAATAAGTATATGTCGATATATGGTGGTTAACCCTTCAAAATAACACTATGCAGTGTGCATTATATACACAAAATATGTCGCCTCCATTTCCAATCACGTTAAAATGGGCAGTGTCACGTGTCTGTTGCAGTGTCGCGCAAGTCGGAGTAGTCAGAACAGTTCAGAACTGTCATGTGACTGTCTTCTGTTCCATTCCATTAGTGTTCCGAAAATCCGGAGTACTCCGAACAGTAGATGGAGCAGCTTGCAAGGGGGTTTTGAAGGGAGGAATGAACTTAATTTGTGAGTCACAATTTCACAGGATCCGAGGGCATATATACGCCCGGGAAAAATTTGAACTCTGAAACGGCATTTCCTGCATTGTGGAGGCAATGGGGAAAATATAAATGTCTTAATTTCTCGACCTGCCCTCATTTGCTATTTTTGGCTTCAATTGCTTCTAATGTAAATATCTCAGGGAGTTTTATATTTACCCCCTTCAAAACGAAAAACACTGTTGAACCTGAAATCCTCACAAAATAATCCTTTCAACGAAGGGTTTGAATGCCCGTCAAAGCATTACATGTACACAAACCAAAACAATCGTACATTTATTTATTCACCCTTGGCCAAACATTTATTTGGAGAATGAAACTCGAATATCTTCTAAAGACTAAACTCTTTAGAATTCATCCCAAGTCAATCGACTGAAAATACTCCTTGTACTGCCTCGTACCCAGGCGCTTTAAATAATTACAATACATGCATGAAGTATTCAGGTAGGCAGACGACGCGCGAGGGGGCAAGTGCACTCTTCCCATCAGACATCAGCCCCTTCGCCCGTCTCTCTCCACTACAATACTTCATGTGAACTCGTCATATGCGCATCACTGTTTTTTTACAAAGAGACGCCTGGGTACGAGGCAGCTCCTTGTAGTCAAGCGCTTTCATGTAGAAAGTTTCATTTGAATATGGCGAGTAGAAATATTTATTTTGAATTTTTCAAAATATCGGGTTTTTACTTTTATGTATGTACACACGTTGGCAGTTTTGGTACTTGGCCATATAGGGAGAATCAATCGCCTGATACATCTGTAAAACACGCTATTGGGGTACTTTGACCTGTGGAATCGGTTTACGGCGTTTCCGTAAGATGAAAATCGGAAGATACAATACATGTTTTGGATAGCGATTGAACAAGAGTATTAGGAAGAAGATACTTCCCAAGGGACGGAAATTATGTTCGGCAGAAAGCAAGTTTATATTTGATCGAGAAGATTGAGTTATTTCATATAGTAAATGATCTCGCTTGACTTTAAAAGGCCATAATTGACTAAGATCGTTAGGAATCAGGCGATATTGTTTTGCTAAATCGAACGGTAATATTTTTGTCACGATGGCATCGAATTTGAACGAATCCAAAACTACACACGAAAAGACATTGGAGGAAGCATGGCCCCCATCCCTCTAACTTTGTTTGGGCACCACAATCACTGGATGTGCATGGAATCTTGGATGCATGCGATGTACCTGAAAACAAGGATGGATCATAGATATCTTATATACACTAGAGAGTGCATCTAATTATTCTGCAATTCAAAAATTGAAGCCGTGATTGCAGACTCGGGATATTCCCATGAAATGAGAAGACTCGTATGTTTTCTATTTCTTAAACAGGGAACTTACACATTAAGTTAAACCTATTCCAAATACATTTTCAAACTATTCAAATGATGAAAGTTATTGTTGTTTTTTAGGCGTTTATTAGCGAGTGGGTGACCGCTGGAATATTCTTGGCTTCAATTTTACTAAAAGAGATGCGCTATCTAGTGTACATAAGATATCTATGGGATGGATGGTCATATTCAGCAATTTTTTCCCCGGTGCAACAGGCTCGAATTTCCAGCGGACTTGCGATGAAAAATTGTTAGCTTTGCGCTTCGATCACACATGCAGGGCCGGCAATTTTTGTGTAAGATGTCAGCTAGCACTGCGAGCCCGCACGAGTTGGCGAAATTTCGCTAAATTTGGCCAAACATCGACCAAGGGATTAAAATGGCAAAAAGATTTTGGGCGACGATAGATCTAATTGCAGAAGGGTTTTGTTGATGATGGAAATTTCGAGTGCAAATCTTATATATTTATTGGACCTGTAACTGACCAGGTACATGCAGTTGGCTAAAGTGCAACCCTCTGGCAAGAAAGGAACCTGCGACCCTGTGACTCGGGTGCAGAGGGCCTATACAGGGTGTATAAAAAAAAAACTGAACAGATTTGAAATTGCTCTCAATTTCGCAAAACACCTATTTGTATCCGGTTTTTTATGTATATAGCTTCTTTGGGCACTTATAATGTAGAATAATGAAAAAAATTTCTCGAACTCAAACTTTGTGAACCAGGGGTGTCTTTTCCAACAAACTAAAAATGGCTCGCGCACAAAATTTAAAAGTTGTAATCAAATTTTGAGTTAATAGATGGAAAAATTGGCGGGTGTTTAATTACTGTACAAAATTTCCGACAATTTGGTTTAGTTTGAGCTCTTTAACTATTCATGTAAAGTTACATTTCGGTTAAAAATCATCTATTTGCATGCTTAATTAATGCCTTTGCCTAATTTGCATATGTCAGCAATATGCAAATTAGGTAAAGGCATAATTAAGCATGCGAAAGGACGAGGTTCCTCACGCTGAGGACAAGGTTCCTCACGCTGAGGACAAGGTTCCTGACGCTGAGGACAAGGTTCCTCACGCTGAGGACAAGGTTCCTCACGCTGAGGACAAGGTTCCTCACGCTCAGGACACGCGCGGAGGTCGTCGTACATTCTCGTCACTCAAACTTGTAAGTTATGATGTAGTTTTTAACTGACAGGTAGAGAAATGAGAGAACTTAAAGCGTATATAGATACTGTACCATGCATTAAACATAGTCTTAATAAACCTATTATTATATTATTTTATGAGAATCTAGTTTTCCGTGAAATTGCTTTTTAAGACACGTGAATCGTGAAACGGCTTTTTTTTTCGTTGTGAAACGTGATCCATACCCCCCTTTCCCGCCCTCTATATAGTACATTTCCTAATTTATATGATTATGTCATGTACGGTATATAGTTCGAACTGATATAATTCAGCTGATTTGCAAGAGGCTGCAAATTTTTGAACTTATTAAAAATTTTGAACTTATTAAAAATATATATATATATATATATATATATATATATATATATATATATATATATATATATATATATATATATATATATATATATATATATATATATATATATATATATATATTATTCAATATTGAATTTGTGCGTAGTGAACTAGAGTGCTCAACACCAATAAATCAGTAGAGCAAATAAAAAGACATAAACAACAAATTTCAATCTTAAAATTTTATTTCATCGCTACACAGTGTTTCACGTACAGCGTACGATCATCAGGCGATTGATGTTAATTATCTCGCAATAAATTACAACGGTTTACGCTGACGCGCTTAGATTGCTGCCGCAAGCATTTAAACGATTGTGTTTACTTGCGCGCGCGCGTTTGAAATTAGAAGCTTTATAACTGTTCCTATGCCTACACTTGCTAAACAATTCAGATCTTATATTCAATATATTAATTTTGTCCGATAACATAATCATTCTTTTTTCCTCGGTGCACAGACAACAAACTTTCATTCCTGGGCAAACGGCTGGAACTTGCTTCATGACCGACCAATTTATTCGGAATGATTTTTTCTGCGATTTAAGACCCCAAGCATATTTCGAAAGTCCCGTCTCTGTCGAATAGCGCTCATTTATCATCTGTCGAATTGTCTCGTGAGAAGCGTTGTGTATAAAGCCGAAATTACAAGCGACAATGGGAAAGTGGTCAAGAATTATATAGGAATGACGGCGGGTCCTTTCAAGCTACGATATAGCAATCATTTGAAATCATTGAACAATGAGCGCTATTCGACAGAGACGGAACTTTCGAAATATGCTTGGGGTCTTAAATCGCAGAACAAATCATTCCGAATAAATTGGTCGGTCATGAAGCAAGTTCCAGCCGTTTGCCCAGGAATGAAAGTTTGTTGTCTGTGCACCGAGGAAAAAAGAATGATTATGTTATCGGACAAAATTAATATATTGAATATAAGATCTGAATTGTTTAGCAAGTGTAGGCATAGGAACAGTTATAAAGCTTCTAATTTCAAACGCGCGCGCGCAAGTAAACACAATCGTTTAAATGCTTGCGTCAGCAATCTAAGCGCGTCAGCAAAGATTAAGTATATAAAGATGGCCGACTCGCGGAAAATTCCTTTGTTCTCGGTGTCCCCCGTTTCGAAAGCCCACGCGGTTTCCACGCGTTTCGTCTGGTAAGCG